TCCAGCTGCTGTGTCCTGGTCTTAATGGCTATGAATGGGAAAGACGTATTGATTCCCTCTTTAATTGTTGTCGATATAACATTTAACTGACTGAATCTGCCTGCATTGCCATGGCTTGCTTTGATTGACTGAATATGACCAGTGTTTATTCTCAGTAACCTAAGCACACTGCAGGCTCCGTCAATAAACACTCCTATCTCAACAAATGGTTGGTATTTGTCAGGCTAATGGCTTGTTTCAAGGCAGACTCAAGAGGAACACATCCCCCCATGTTTGCTTTTCTTGCAGAATAAATCTATATATGTTCACCTTTTTTGAAATATATGCTTAAGTTCCTCATTACATCCCCCAAAGATAAGGCCCAAGAAGACTGTCAGTTGTTGGCCTCCATTTCTCCTCCGCCTTGTTAAGGTCCTTTAATTATTAAAAAAAATGTAGGAGTTTGCTGTGATGTTCTGTTATTACATTTTTTCCTCTTTTGCTTCTAGCTATCTTCTCCTGTTGGTATTCTGGCTTTTTATCACTATCTCTTTAGTGCTATGGGGTGCTGTTTCTTGGCTGGCTCCTGGTGATGTGTACCAAGGAGGCAATGTGATTCTTCCTGTTATGCTTACTGAGGTAGCAGAGTGATGTCTTCCTAGTGAGGACTTGCTGTATGCATCTGATGAAGTAGAGACTGAGCCCATGAAAGCTTCTTAGTCCTTAAGGCTGCAGTCCTATGCCCACTTACCTGGGAGTAAGCCCCATTGAATAACATGGACATTTCTTCTGAGTAAAATGCAAAAGATTGCATTGTAAGTTATCACGGTTTTGCTGCAACACATAAAGAAGCAGATAAAGAAGCAGAGGAGATTGGATTTATACCCCACCCTTCACTACAAAAGGAGTCTCAGAGCATCTTACAACAGACACCCCGTGAGGTAGGTGGGGCTGAGAGAGCTCTTTTGAGGACTGCTCATGAGAGAACAGCTCTGAAAGAACTTGTAACTGACCCAAGGTCACACCAGCAGCTGCATGTGGTTGAGTGGGGAATCAAACCCAGTTCTCCCAGATTACAGTCTATACTCCTAACCATTACACCAAACTGGCTCCAGTAGCATCACCAACTAGCCAGGAGAGAACTGTCCTTTAATAGAGTTTAAGTGTGTAGAAATTGGCAGGTGAAGGTTTTCATGATCCATGGGGAAAAAACATCACTTGGTATTTGCTGCAGATTGAATGAATATTAAAGGGACAGCTGCTAGAGGGACCAGTTTGAAGCTGGCAGCTCCAACAGCTGCCATTCTAGAATTACTTTGTTACCATTGCATTGTGGAGATTTAGGGATGCCTTTAGTATTGGCTTAATACGTGGAAATGGGAGACTGAAGCTTTCCATGGCATGGAGGTAAAGAACATCCCAGCAAGCCTCTGTTAAAAGGACAGGGCATCCCCCCCACTGCACCAGTTGGGATTCGGGAACCCTGTGGAGATTTCTCCTGTACTTTAAATCTGTCACTGAACTGGGAGTAGGTCTGTATGCTGACTGAATACAAGTGGCCGGTTCTCCTCTTGCAATTTTACCAGTAGCTTGTTCTGCAGAAACCAGGAGATAAAGCTTTTGGTAGCAGGGAGATAAGCATTATTGCCTCATCCCGTTTGACAATCAAGCAGGAGCAGCTGTCAATAAAAGACTAGGCAGTGCTAGCTAACATAGAAAATGAAAGAATAAGATCCTGACGCATACTGAAGTAAACTTCTGTCCCAGGCTTTATTTCCTGTTCCATATAACACCAGCTAAAAAGTAAGGTGTTTGTTGTAGATGCTTCACTCCCAGGATATTCATTGGAGAGGGAACTAGATGCCTGCTTGCAGAGAGGAGGGGGCTCACAGAGGAACCTCAGGAGTATCAAGGCAAAGTACAGAAACATTTCATATGAACTTCACTCCTTTGCCTTGAGTTTCACTGTGTTTAGTGTTTCTTTTAAGCACCGCCTTAACACTAGTCCATTTCAGCTCTCGAGTCTTGTCTCTGCAAGCCTGAGCAGTGTGCATGTACACGAAAGCTTATACTGTGAATAAAACTTTGTTGGTATTAAAGGTGCCGCTGGACTCAAACCTTCTTCCGCTCCACATGTTGTGTTCCAAGGCAGACACTGTCCATACTTTAAAAAGATAGGTCAGCAACACGTTTATCTCCACTGGCAGCCATTTGTATGTCAGAGTTAGATGTACAGTGTTACTTGGAATCGTCAGATTATATAAAATCTGCTAGTAGCACAATTTTAATTGAACATCTGGATAAACCCCTAGATGTTGTATATGAATGGCATTTGGAACAGTTATTTTTAATCATTACTTTAGACTTGGAGTAGTCAGGAGGAGACATATATCTTCATCAGTTGTTGTCATGCATTTCTGAAAAAGTGCCTTTGTGCTTAGCTGATGTTTTAATCAGGCAATTGCAAGCCATCTGGCAAAGAATCAACATGTCTTAGTTTTAATTATGTAGAGCCTTAGGCCTGATGCTAATTAGTAGTTGGGGAAGAGGTAGCGATGCCAGAAAGAAGAGATCAAAGACTGTGTTGCTACTGAACATTACAGCTTACATAGCAATTGCTGAAGCTTTTGGCACAGATGTGCAAACAGCTGTAAAAATCAATTAACACCAATAGCATATCTCACAATGAAGGAGGACCACAATACCAGTAATCAAGTAGTATATATCAGTTCCATAATTCTGCAAGAGAAAGTCATCCCATTATTCCCAAAGCCATCAGTCATAATTTAAAATGAATGACTTGGGCTTTCAATAATAAAACCTTCAATAATTAGCAAAAATCTATTTCTATAGATGACCCACAAATCAGTTCTGCAGTTGTAACCAATGCTCCCTCTAAGCTGTGGAGTCTTGTGAGCAAAAATTCTACTTTGTGAGGTACTCGCATTAAAGTTGTGAGCAAACGATTTGGCTACTGCATAAATTAGTTTGCTTTGGAGCCATCCTTCCTGAGCTAAGGCAAAAGTGTGTGAGCCAGAGGCTGAAAAACTGAGCTAGCTCACACTAACTCAGCTTAGAGAGAAACATATTGTGCACCTCTGTCTGCCTTTAGTTTTATAAAAACCATATGGAATGGTCTCCCACAAACACTGCTTGTCTTGTGGGGAAGGTCAGCATAGGGATCAATGGGTTCCTCTAACCTGCCTCCCCATTCCTGGCTGGCTTCAAAGCCCCTGCTGGGGCATGGATATGCCACAGCACAAGCCAGTATTATGGTGGGAAGGTCACACGGGCCGGATATCGCGGGGGGGAGGCGTGGCTAATTGCCCTGGTGCAGTTTGATCCGCGTTTACGCTATCAGACACGCCGGCTGTGGAGGAGTGAGGAAACAAACCCAGTTCTCTTAACCACCACACCAAATGAACTCCACTATCTCCACATTTGTTTTCAAGCTAACCTGATAGTGACTCTTTGCTTCTTGAGACTCTTAAGGACTCTTAAGGCGGGGTCCGACCTACCTAAGGGACCGCCTTTCCCCGTATACACCCCCAAGAGCACTTCGGTCGGGGACCCAGAGTCGCTTAGTGGTTCCGGGCCCCCGAGAGATACGCTATGCCGCGACAAGGGCAAGATCCTTCTCAGTGGCGGCCCCTACCTGGTGGAATGAGCTCCCGGAGGAGATCAGGGCCCTGCGGGATCTTTTGCAATTCCGCAGGGCCTGCAAGACGGAGCTCTTCCACCAGGCTTTTATGTAGGGGCCGCCGCTTCCACCACCACCAACGAGGGAAAGACCACCAAGTTGGAGTGTCCTTGATAGCCCGGCGTTATCTATATGACAGCAAAATCAGCCATTTAGCTTGGACTACTACTACCAGGATGATCTATCATGATTAAAGCCTGCAGGGGTAATTCCCTGCAGGTGTCAGCTGCAGACCATCTTGGAATCTAAAGCACTTTATTATTATTATGTTGGTTGTGATGTGTGATTTTATCGGATTTTATAAATTTTATGTATGGGCTTATGCCTTTGTAAGCCGCCCTGAGCCCGCTCGCGGGGTAGGGCGGGGTAGAAATACCTGAATAAAAATAAAAAAAAATAAAAAAAAAAGTTGTGAGCAAACGATTTGGCTACTGCATAAATTAGTTTGCTTTGGAGCCATCCTTCCTGAGCTAAGGCAAAAGTGTGTGAGCCAGAGGCTAAAAGACTGAGCTAGCTCACACTAACTCAGCTTAGAGGGAAAACTGGATGTAACATATTGTGCACCTCTGTCTGCCTTTAGTTTTATAAAAACCATATGGAATGGTCTCCCACAGACACTGCTTATCTTGTGGGGGAGGTCAGCATAGGGATCAATGGGTTCCTCTAACCTGCCTCCCCATTCCTGGCTGGCTTCAAAGCCCATGCTGGGACATGGATATGCCACAGCACAAGCCAGTATTATGGTGGGAAGCAGCGGATACCTCCCATATACTGACAACCTACTCTAGAGGGAGATAACTTCCAGGCAGTACCCTCTGAAGGAGAGGGGCAGGTGGATCAGTATACAGGAGACATACACTAGCTTCCCCTGTAAATAATGCCCTAATGCATGGCTGCCTACGGCCAGCTAGGGTTGGGGGAAAGGACTTTATTGAGTTGGATTGTGACCCATGATGGGTTAGAAGCTGCTTAAAAACAGTTTATGTTGCATGCACGTTTGCTTTTTAAAAAGAGAGACCCTGTGTAATAAAATGTATTTGAAATTCATGGCATAGAAGCTCATGTACTCACGATACAAAGAGGTAGAAAACAGTAGGACAGATGTACAGCTTAAAGACAAGCAAAACAAACCCCATTTTTAATGCTTCCACCTTAAAAAAGAGAAGAGTTGCTAGGTCAAATTGTTTTTTCCCTCATATTTAAGGCCAGTAAGTCACACTGTCAGGTTCCACAGCTGTTTTAAGAGTGTTACCAACTTGCTAGGTCAAATTGTTTTTTCCCCCTCATATTTAAGGCCAGTTCCACAGCTGTTTTAAGAGTGTTACCAACACTTAACAAGCTTTTTAAAGGCAAGTTTAAAATCTTCATTGAAACTAGTGTACAACAGAGGATTGATAAGAGAATTCACATAGCCGAGCCATGTCAAAAAGTGAGCCAGTTCTGTAGATACGGTAATAAGCCCAACACCCACGATGAGCTCCTTAATGAAAAAGGGCAACCAAGACAAAATGAATGCACTTAAAATTAGACCAAGAATGCGTGCAGCCTTTCGCTCCCGTACACTGGAGATCTGTTGACGGTCCTCAGCCAAATCAAGGTCATTGTCCGAGCTTGGAGTCCTCACTGAAGAATTCATTCTGTCAAATTCCGTGGTGGGATCAGAGGTGGAGAAGTCTGACACACAGAATGTCTGTGTGAGCTTGCAGCTTGCAAAAGAGTTTTGGCTGTCGGTGCTCCTGCTGCTGAGGTGTCGGCTTGATCCCCGTTTTTGGTAAAGACTCTTGGCAGCATGATAAATTCTGTAATAGAGAATCAGTATGAGTGTCAAAGGGATGTAAAATGCTCCAAACGTAGAGTAAATTGTATAGATAACATGGCTGTGTTGGATCTGGCAGTCAGTGGAATTGCTGTAACTGCTCTGGTTTCTCCAAAACAAAGGAGGCATGGAAATGAAAATGGAGATAGTCCACACAGTAGTGATCATAATGCCAGCTCTCTTTGCAGTTCTTTTCCGGGCATATTCGATAGCATCTGTGATTGCCCAGTACCTATCAAGCGCAATGACACAAAGGTGAAGTATTGAGCATGTGCAGCAGGTCATGTCGATGCTCAGCCAAATTTCACAGAGGAAATGACCCAAAGTCCACCTCTCCATTATGATGTATGTAATACTCAAGGGCATGACCAAAACAGCGACAAGTAAGTCTGTAACAGCCAGGGAGCATATTAAGTAGTTGGCAGGCTGGTGGAGTTTCTTCGTTGTACAAATGGCTGAAATGACAGAAGAGTTCAGTAGCATTGTCAAGGTGGTGATTATAGACAGGGTCAGGGTGATCAGCATATTTTCCGTCACCGTTTTGAATTTGATAGCCATGTTGGCTTCTGAGGTGAAGTTGGTATGATTCATCTTGCCACAAAGAGGTTGCTACCTTCTAGGCGTTCACGGTATCAAAGGTAAAATTTGTCCATTCACGAAGATCACAAGGGTACTTCAAACCCAGAAATAGTTATAGCCCATCTTTTCCAGATGTAGCCCCTTTTTTCCTCCTGTCTGCTGTTTTCCTGGATGGTTAACAAAAAAGTCAGTTAACAATGTATCTTACATTTCTATTTGTTTACAAAGATTTGCTCCAATGCACATGCAGCTTGCATTATTTAACTATCTACCACTAGAATCTCTAGGTGACTCACTACATTATCATCTCTGGCATCTTTTCTACTGAGCAGGGTCAACAGGCTTGGGGATATTGTCACTGCAATCAATAAGTGATGCCACTTCACAGCTATGCCATGCAATGGCATACAATTTCCAGCTTTTGACCATCCTGAGTAGGAGTGGATGCATTGCAATGCACAATTGTTTAGTTCACCTTCCAATTACATTATTACAATGGGGATTGACTTAATCTGTGACACAACACAAGGTGATCAGCATCAGGGAAACATTTATACCATGTTCTCCTGGCACATCTGTGCATCTATTCCAATGGCATAAATGGCTGGTTCTGTATCAGCCCAAGTGTAAATTAGTCATAGAAATGCTATGCTGTTAGGACCCAATCCACATCTGTTCCATGCCACCCTCTGTATCAGTAACCTGATAGAATTTGCCTGATGTGTCTCAACCTCTTTGAACATGTCTACAATTCAGCACATGAAAAGTTTCTTCTTAACACAGGACGTTCTCTTTTAAGTAACCCATTCACTGTTTAGTACAGAATATATTTTTCAATAAGTAATTAAGAAGAGAACTCCCGTTGGAGAGAGTGACTGAGCATGCCTGGACATTGGGGGTGCTGCGTCACTCTAAGTGTGAATGGGTGTTATCTTCTTGAATGGGATGCCTCTGCCTTCTGACCCCTCCTCTCTCTCACTCACTTTGTCCTCTCACTCTCTCCTCACATGGTCTTCCATGGAGACACATGTCTCTGCAGGTCCCCTCATGCTCCAACACACATGATAACGGACAAGCTGGTCATTTGTGATAGGGAAAGTACTCTTTAGATTAGGCTTCTCTCTCTCCTTTTAACTGCAACCTGATTGTGAACTAGATCTACCTGAATAAATGTAAGTTTACCTTTTTTGCAATGTACTTCTTGGGAAATTTATTTACTGCACTCAATATCACGCTTCTGTGACTGGGCAAACTCTGCTATATTAACCAAATATCCCAATACCTCCTATAGCTTAACCCAGAAATTCTCAAACTGTATGTTGGGCAGGGCACACAATTTGTCTGTGAGAAAATCAGTACTGTATCACAAGACATTAACATCTGATGTCATGCTAAAGCATACACCAGACAGTATGCTGCCTCCTGCAAGCCTGAATGATTTAAAGCTCTGGCCTTTCCTTCTAACTTATGAGGGTAGATAATGCTGGGTAGAGGGTAGACTATGTCAGGTCTCTGCATTGAGTGTGATTGCTCCACTGTTAAGAGAATGAACTTGATATTTACTTTATGGACTATATTTATTGCTACACACAATGGACTGTGCACACACACATAGGCTCAAAGAACTGTACACTTTAAGTCACCTGTTGTGATGCAACACATAGAAGGTGCCTGCACAAGCCTTACATGTGAATAAGGTCTCAGCTACACAGTTACTAGCCTGGTGAAAGAAGCACACACCTCCATTATTGTGAGCAATGAGAAACAACAGCTCTGAGCAGAGACAGCCCCCATTGCTGACCTGTTTGTGGTCACGTACCATCCATCAACTACTTTGTTCCTGCTTTGGTATTTCCTGCCAAATGGACATTTGGTTTACAATGAGAATGGCCAGCTTCATCAAGACCACAATGGAGCATCATGACCCCAAGGTCTTCACACCTGTCCAGATGCCATTCTTTGAGCAAGGTTTTAGGTTTCAATATTGGCCACCCCTCTTAGGTAACCACCCTCCCTACATGCAACCAATAGGATTGTTTTTGGGACGGACTAACAGGTAGGTGGGCCAAGAGGTTGGAATAGTTACCACCCATCTCTCGAACTCACTTTAAAAGATAAGGACCATTCACCTGGCCCTTGCTAGCTAGCAATCCCCACAACACCCCCTATCTGCTTTTAATCCCCTTGAGCCCCACTTGCTATTCCAAACCCTTGCCTCTACTTTGATCTCTTGATCTGCAGTCAAGAGACCCCCACACAATCCGGCTAAGTTCTGGTAGTGTGGATCCCTTTATTTTCTATTTCTTCCCATCCATTCGTCATTGGGACAACCAAGCTGCAAGACAGATAAGTATCGCCCACCATCACCCCTACTTGCTAATGCAACCGTGCTTATTTTAATACTGTAATTTCTAAGAAACTTGATTGAATGTGGGAGTGCATCAGTATTGTTTGTATGAGATATATTCTTAAGAAAAATACATCTATTTTAAACTACAACAGCTTCGAATCCTTTACTGGTAACTCTTGTTGGGAACAGGACCTTGGTATAGTTGGCAAGTACCCATTTATAAATTGGGCCCTGGTGCGTCAGTGGGAGTCCTCTCACAAGCCATGGGCCCGCCTGCACCTTGACTTTGCAGGTCCATTCCAATGGCCAGATTCATACTCCAAATGGCTAGAAGTGGTGCCGGTCCCCTCCACATCGTCCTGAGCAGCAATTCGTGCCCTATCTTCAGCACACATGGCATACCAGACGCCGTCGTAATGGACAACAGGATAGCTTTCACCTCGTCCGAGTTTCAGGAATTCATGGACTACTATGCCATCCGACACATCCGCTCCGCTCCCTTCCACCCCACAACCAATGCCCAGGCTGAGTGGATGTTGAGGAGGACTAAGGAGTCTCTCCACAGGATTGTCCAGGGAAGCTGGCAGCCTTCCTCTTCGGCCAGTGGGTAACCCCGAACACAACCACCATCCACAGCCCAGTGGAACTCCTGATGGGAAGGCACCTCACAACCCATCTCAGTCAACTGCACCCAGACTACGCTCTGGAGTACAGCTTGGCCCCAGAGAATCAAGCTGCTCCCCGTGGGTTCTTCCTGGGTGACCCCATCTATGCACGCAACTTCTCCAGTGGCCCAGCCTGGGTTCCCGCCAAGGTTTTAAGGTTTCCACAGAAGATGGCCAGAGGCTCTGCCAACACATAGACCAGCTCCACAGCCATCTCCTCCCCACTGAACCTGGGATACCCACACCAGAAGACAGTGACGAGGATCTGCTAAGCCCAGAGGAGCCAGAGCCCAAGGAGAACATGCCCACCGGCAGCACCCTGCTGGAAATCAATGGAGAGACTTTGGAGGCTGCTGATGCAATGCCAGCAGTAGCCGCCACCATTGGCCCTGAGAATATCCCGGCGTCACCCCCCTCTCCCAGTCTGGTGGCGGGGCTGGCCCCTGACATGATTCCTGAGCCCACAGCCCCATCAGCAGAACCATGCCGCTCAAACCGTGAGTGCCACCGACCAGCGTACTTAAAGTACTTTGTCAGTTGGAGAGGCTCTGGACTTTGGGGGGAGGGGTGTTATGTATTGAGCCTGAACTGTCCTTGCAAAAGGACTGAGCTTGGGATGCATAACAATAGATTGCTAGGATCCTAGAATGGACCAGTAGGGAGACAGGGATCTTAGAGTAAACCAGTTGGGAAAGAATAGAGTGTAAATAGCCTATCGTTAGGAGTGGGGTGTTTTTGGGTGTAACCCTTTTCAGGCATAAATACCCTGCTTTGGCCAGGGGTTTCTCAGTCTTCTTTCTCTTGCTGAATCACTAATAAACTATGAGCTGATCACTTCTATGCACCTGAACCCAGTATATTTCACAATTATTACTATACCACCACCATGTATTTAGCACCAACAATATGCTCTGCACCAATTAATGAACTTTTTACAACTTCCTACATGTTATTTTTTAATGCAGCATAGTAAAAGCACAGGGAGTTGTCCTTTAAAGAACAGGTTGAAAAAGTTGGAGGAGGGATCCATTTAAATGCCATACTATTCCCAACCTCATTCTCTTGTACAGCATGTCCTCCACTATAAATTTTAAGTATTCTTAAGACCACCAAATTTTAGAAAACGAGAGAGCTGAAAGAATCCACCAAATCACGGCTGTACTTTTAAGGGGCTTGTCTAGTAGGAAGAGCAGCTGCATTCCTAGTGAGGAAGGGCTGCTGTCCCAACACGCAACAGAGGCTAGAAATAACCTGCACACATACAACCTTCCAGCACCAAATTCAACAATGCTACAGTCTTTCATGCACAACTGAGAAAGGCACAAAGAGATAGAGAGAAACCGTACACAGCACGGAAATCATAAAGGGCTAAATTTATTAAATCAACTTCAGAGGAGGCAGCCGCACCATACACATCAAAAGGGAAGGCTGCCTTGTAGAAAAGCCATGTTTTATGGCAAGAACACATGAAGGAAGTCAAGAGCCCCCTTTGCTATGGCTTTGTAGTGATTTGGCCTGGTTACAGCAGCAAACCTTTTTAGGCTTTGATAGAAAAGTTCAATCAAAATATAGTATACATAAAACTATATAGATTAAGACCCAGAATTCCCCAACAATAAGGATGTGTGCACATGTGTGAGAGAGTGAGAGAGGAGAGAGGAGAGAAAGAGAGATGGATGTGACAAAGACAATGCCAAGTAGGGAAGAAAGCCGGTAGTTAAGTCAACAGGATGCCCTGTATGCTGGCACCAGAAACACTCAAACACCACTTGCAAATTAGCAATGCTGCCACTCCACCCTGCTGCAAAAGAGAGAGGGCTTAATCCGAGCCAGAGCTCAATCGGGGAACCTACTTCACTGAGAGAGAACAGCGCAGCCTCGTCCTGGGACTTTCAAGTTAGAGAAAGGAGGCACATTCCCAAGTCTCGACAGTCACTGCATGAGTTGTGGGTGGGACTATGAGGAGAGCCAGGCTCTTGAGGATTGAGTAGATGCAG